CGAATCCTCGCTGCCATCTCCATGCTGATGTCGACTCACCTACTTCAAATCTATCATTTTTGCCAGAATTTTTGTATACTTCTATTTAATAGTATTAGTTCCCGTTTGTCTCTTTCCCTCAAACTAGTGAAGATTAGTTACATAACTAATACTTGATACTACCCGTATTAAATTTTGTCAGTTGCTCAGAAACCACGGCTACATAGGCTGTTCAAACGTGCCGCTCGGGACGTCTGCAAGTCTCCACCGTGCCCGTGGAGCAGCACTGCTCCCCTGCTAAATCGAATGCATGTATGTGTACATGTACATGTAGGTGATACTCCGAGATAACCTGTTGTTGTTGTTGTTGTTGTTGTTGTTGTTGTTGTTGTTGTTGTTGTTGTTGTTGTTGTTGTTGTTGTTGTTGTTGTTGTTGTTGTTGTTGTTGTTGTTGTTGTTGTTGTTGTTGTTGTTGTTGTTGTTGTTGTTGTTGTTGTTGTTGTTGTTGTTGTTGTTGTTGTTGTTGTTGTTGTTGTTGTTGTTGTTGTTGTTGTTGTTGTTGTTGTTGTTGTTGTTGTTGTTGTTGTTGTTGTTGTTGTTGTTGTTGTTGTTGTTGTTGTTGTTGTTGTTGTTGTTGTTGTTGTTGTTGTTGTTGTTGTTGTTGTTGTTGTTGTTGTTGTTGTTGTTGTTGTTGTTGTTGTTGTTGTTGTTGTTGTTGTTGTTGTTGTTGTTGTTGTTGTTGTTGTTGTTGTTGTTGTTGTTGTTGTTGTTGTTGTTGTTGTTGAATTATTTTATTCTCATGATGGCCTGTGGCCAATAAGAGAAGTTGTTGTTGTTGTTGTTGTTGTTGTTGTTGTTTGGCTTTATTTAGAGTGGAGTTCCCTTGTTTTTGACCTACACTTCCACAACAGGTTTCTGTGCACTTCAATAATGTTTTGTTTCATCTTGCGATGTTTGCATGATGCTTGTACTGTAGTATCCTATTTCAGTCCTGTTTTGCTGGAATGCCGTCAACCCACATTCAAGGAGGCCAAAGCAACTAACTTGCTTGTGGTCCCGCCTGCTAGCACTGCTCGTTCTGCTAAGCGCTTTTATTTATTTATTTTTTATTGAAAAACCACAAACCTTCAGACATGTGAATGTGCACATGATATACAGTGTACATACATGTACATACATGTATGTATCGAGAAGGCAGCACAGAAACGGCAGTGGTGGTGAGGCCTGGGCAGCTCGTCCGACCGTGGGTCTCGGAGTCAACACTGGGCAGACGCACCGGGGGGGTAGCTTAGGAAATAAGGGATGGAGCCAGCGTGATCATAGTATGTAATGCATATGCAGAAGTAATGATTATGTTAATCTTAAAAACAATAGTGAGGTGGACCTGCGCAGAGGAAAGGCATCATGGACATGATCTACATGTACGTGTATGACATATACAGTGTACATGTAAGTGAGCTAGGGCACATCATACACACACATATACGCGTGTTCAAAATAGGAGATCAAACTAATAGGCGTTCGCCGGCGTTGGGTAATCTTGAAATAAAGATATTAATATTATTAAAGAGATTATTATCATACGGTCACATAAACACCACATACCAACCATGTACACACACACACATACACATACACACACGCACACACACACACACACACACATGCTCGCACGCACAAACCTTTGACCTTGACCTTTGACGCCCCATCTCCAGTGGAGATGATAGGCTACTGAGTTGGGCAGTACTTGATGTGACGCACACACACATGCACACACACATACACACACACACACCACATGCACACACGCACGCACACACACACACACGTGCACATGCACACAGACGCATAGTCATTGTACATAATATTTGTGCACAGACTCACTCTCTCACAGTAACGTCCACAAACCACCACGCCGAGTCCCTACAGCCGGTCGGTCGCCCAGTCCCAGTGGCTGGAGCGCAGGAATCGGTGGACGCTGCACTTGAAGGACTGCATCCTCTTCTGGTCGGGCTGATCCAGGAGGTGTTGGCGAGGCAACTGGTTCCAGGTGTCCAGCACTCCTTCAGGGAACGACCGGCGGACGTTGTTGCGAGAATTGGCTGGGATATCAGACTGCAGCTGGTAGTGGTGGCCGGCCGCCACCCGCGCCTGCTGCCTGTTGTTGGCAGGATGTTCCGCCTAACGCACGCTGGAGCCATTTTGTGCAATGGATTGCCGTCAGCAGCAAAATGTTCAAATAGGTACTTGTACTAGTATTAGGATTTCAAATCTCAAGCCTTGCAGTAATAATATTATTAGCTACGTGGGTTTTCCATAGCTGAGTGGATTCATATCTGTTCGTAACAACCAACCTTCCGTTTTCTTTTCTTTCTTTTTCTTATCTTTACTTTTCCACAATATCCTATTTAAATTTTTAATTTAATAACAGTGGGTCCAATGTTATTAGATTATATTATATTATTATGCCTGTTTTGATTTCCACTATAAATGAAGCTTAGTATTCAACAACAACAAAAATAACAACAACAACAACAACAACAACAACAACAACAACAACAACAACAACAACAACAACAACAACAACAACAACAACAACAACAACTACAACAACAGCAACAGCAACAAAAGCAACAACAACAACAACAACAACAACAACAACAACAACAACAACAACAACAACAACAACAACAACAACAACAACAACAACAACAACAACAACAACAACAACAACAACAACAACAACAACAACAACAACAACAACAACAACAACAACAACAACAACAACAACAACAACAACAACAACAACAGCAACAGTAACAACAACAACAACAAAAACAACAACAACAACAAAATTGGAGAAAAGCACCACGCTTTCTCTCTTGAGAGTTCGCCTGATTTCATTAAATTATTTTATGGAACGAAATACATGTACATGCCCAGGGTAGGATCCTGAAAGTGAGAAAACTCAACTGTAGCCATCCACTATACTCATACATCTCAAAGTGAAAAGACTCAACTGTAGTCATCCACTATACCCATGCATCTCAAAGTGAGAAGACTCAGCCATCCACTACACCCATACATCTTCACGACCCTACGAAAAAAGAGATACTGGGGCGGGGGAGGGTTGGGAAGAATAGAATGAAAGTGTGTGGCTAGGTGTTGTGGTCAAAATTCCACCTGAATCAAAGTATTTGTCACCGATTATGTAATCTCTGTTTTATCAGCAGGATACACGCGACCAGCACCATTGTTGGCCAAGGTGCTGGACATATCGACAGCAATGCAGCAGGTGGGAATTGCCTAGGCCTACACTATTCTTGCACAAGGGAGCATCCAAACGCATGTCCATGGGTGGACAGCTGTTCATGCCTGTACGCATTTAACTTAATTCAGTGCCAGCAATATCATAAATAGCTGCATTTCCGCAAGTGTGATGATGGTGTCAGTCTCGATTACGCTATTCATGGAACAACCAGATACTTAAAAAATGTAAGTGAGTGAGGAGTGAGAGATAGATTTACAGATAGAACAGATAGATAGATACGCAGCGTTACAACGTATGTTTATATAATTGGTGAAACCATTCTTTTGACCTTTGTGGTTACGCTCCGCCCCTGTGGTGTTGAGCACTGTTGAAACCTGGGTATACCCACTTATGCAGATAGATAGATAGATAGAGAGAGAGAGAGAAAGAGAGAGAAATAGAGAGAGAGAGAGAGAGAGAGAGAGAGAGAGAGAGAGAGAGAGAGAGAGAGAGAGAGAGAGAGAGAGAGAGAGAGAGAGAGAGAGAGAGAAAGAAAGAGAGAGAATGAGAGAGAGGGTGAGAGAGAGAAAGAAAATGAGAAAGAGGGCGAGAGAGAGATAGAGAGAGATAGATAGATAGAGAGAGAGAGAGAGAGAGAGAGAGAGAGAGAGAGAGAGAGAGAGAGAGAGAGAGAGAGAGAGAGAGAGAGAGAGAGAGAGAGAGAGAGAGAGAGAGAGAGACAGAGAGAGAGACAGAGACTGAGAGACAAAGAAACAGAGAGAGAGACAGAGAGAAGAAGTGAGGGACGGAGACAGAAGGGGGGGGGGCAGAGAGTGAGAGAAAGAGAGGACATATGAAACAAATACAATATTATATATCCGGTATCTTGTGTACAGTCCTTTTTACCGGTTTTTTTCCGAATACCACAGAACCATCAGATGCTGCACGGCAGGGGTGGTGGCATATTGGAGGCTCCTCCGACCAAAGGTCTCGGAATCATCATTACTCCTGTGCGCCGATACATAGGAGAAAAGAACATGTGTATCCAGAAGGGAAGCACCGGCTTTGCAAACGATAATGTGGAGAATTTGAGATTGAGATAGGACATAACCCTTTGAGAGCCGATTGAAAATTTCAAAATTCTGCATATTTTCATGTTCTTTAGGACGTAACTTCAGTTCTACTCACTCAATCTTCTCAATCTTGGGCTTCCTGGAAAGGTCTCCGCGAGAGGAAGAGACTGAGGTCACGCATGATGACCAGGACGCCATATCTCCAGCGCCGGAGAGCAGCGAACTAGCGAAAACTGCTTGAAATGCGTGCACTTTCGTCCTGCTCCAGCATTTTCATTTTTCTTGATCGCAGAGTTTCGATTTTTTCGCTGTGTACCCTTGGAAATACTACCAGTGAAACCCACGCAAATTTGAGTAACTCAGCGCGAGGAAAAGTCTCAAAATTCTCAACTTTCGAGTTGCACTCCCACGCTTTTCAAGTGCCGCGATCGCGGCTGAACTTACGAGCGATTTATCTCAAGAACCGTTGATCGCAGCGCGTCGCGGATGGGTTCTACGGCACGCTGAGAGTTTTCTCTTCAAGGTAGATATTTGGATCGTTGAATTTGAGCTAGTTTTGACCGAGTTACGGCCAGTTGAAGTCTCACAGTCGAGTGTGTAGAATTCTACACATTCAAGTATGGGTCGGCTCGGCTTTGCAAACGATAATGTGGAGAATTTGAGATTGAGATAGGACATAACAATAGTAAACTCCCCCCCCCCCTCCCCCGGTACTTCGAAGTACTGAGAAAGAAGGAAAGATGAAGTACAATCCAATTGGCCAAGAGTCGAGGAAGCCCGTAATTGCCAGAGTTAACTATTGGCATTGCTTCATAGGCCAGAGTGCCCTCTGCGGCGATGCAACAACCACAACTACAACAGCACACAGGAAGAAACACGTGGGCTGCAACACACTTTAGTAGTTGTACGGTCAACAGTCTTCTTGCCACACCGTTCCATGGCGGTCAGCAGTTTCTGTTTTGTCAGTTTCTTTTCTCGCTGCGACCTTGGCAATGTGGAAAGTAGGTAGCTTCCCAGGTCACCGTAGAGAACATCCCGATTTGGGCGACTAGACTGGGGTAGAGTGTTCCAGAACTCGTCATACTCTATGACAGCCATGAAGTAATCCTCCAATTGCCATACACGCAGTCTACCTTTGATCAGAAGCTTGAGAACGGAGTGAAGCTCTGCTACCTTTGCCGTGAAGTTGATCCAATTCTGAGTGGCCAACACGTCATCGCTGAGTTTGCTGCTATACTCGTGGACTACTAGGCAGTCGTATGGGTTATAGCTCCACCAAGTAGTAATGTGTTCAGGAAGTGTTGGTATCAGATTCTCACATTTTAGTGATGAGAGCAATGTTGTATCCCTCCTTGCAACGCTTTCGAAGCATTTAGCAATCTCCACTAGCCGGCAGGAGCGGCTCACGTAGGGCAAGTATGACGCGGTTTCCGAAATATCGTGTTCCAATTTTTTAAGGATATCTGTTTGGTATTCGACTTCGGAGCCAGACATCTCAAACAACAAACTCGTCACTTCTTCTAAACTGTACATATGCTGTCCACCGACTCCACATTTCTCCTCAATCAATGAAGTTGAAAGGTTAGGTAGGTAGGAACAAAGGACGTCTGGTTCAAGCCAGAGCGTGTTGATCAAAGACTCTGATAGCCGTGGGCTGGTCCGCATTATAGTGTGGGCCCTTGTTGTAGGCGGCGTCAACGCCAGGCTGGACAATTGCACAATCATTCTATCCCTTTGTTTGAAGACCGTTCTATGGTCATGGCGATCATGGCTATCAACAACGTCTGTCCAGTATATGCTTTGATGTATGCTGGATACTCTGGTGGCGATGCAGAGAAGCCTGGCAAATCTGATATATGAGACTTTCAAATAAGGACTAATCTGATAGCGATTCTGCATGCATGGGACGAAACAGAAGATAACATCATGATCAACAGGTATACGCTGCGAAAAGAGACAGCCGGTTATCTGTTTAGTTGATGGGTGATACCAAGAGTATCAAAAAAGTATTCTTTCTAGACCAAAGAGTGGTATATTTGATAAAATTTAATAACGATAGAAATATTTACGATACTTCTCCAGACGTTTCGTTGTTCTGAACAACGAACCGTCTGGAGAAGTATCGTAAATATTTCTATCGTTATTAAATTTTATCAAATATACTCTCTCTCTCTCTCTCTCTCTCTCTCTTTCTCCACCCCCCCCCCCTCTCTCTCTTTTTCCTCATCCATTCTACCTCACCTTCTCTTGTCTTTATCGCACTAAATCACCCCCTTCTTTTAGGCTATGGTGCGCAAGCTCACGTTAACGCCGAGACCATAAGTCGGTGTTGTGGGCTTGCCTCACCAGCACAGGCTTGCTTTGCAGCCCCTACTCTCCCTGCTGTTTTGTCATTGTATACTCTGTTGTCTTCTCCCCTTCTGACGAGTAGGTTGTGTACTTAGTAAAAATAAAAAAAATAAAAATACCACTCTTTGGTCTAGAAAGAATACTTTTTTGATATTACAATGAGAGTGGATAATCAACGGCTTGTCCACCAACTCTTTGATACCAAGAGTCCATACTCCCCCATACCAGAGTGCGCAACTGGGATGGGGTTGTGGGACGGCGTAATCCGTGCTGCATGTACGTCATTTGTTGGGGTAGGACTTGCGTCATTCCGTCGCCGCGGTCCACCATGTACATGCACCACGGAAACACTTCCCCTACGCATGATGTCACACCTGATTTCGCCGTCCCAGATCTGATCAGTGAAGTAACTAAACTCAGTTGCGCACTCTGGCCGATTATGGAGTATTGGTGGTACATGTACTTGTACTGTGATATCCACAAAGGCACACAATGGAAACCTTGGCAAATTAATTCCGTTGTGACTCAGAGTTTCATGGCTGAACCAAACATCAGACAACGAGCACTTTTGCAGAACGAGCAGTTTTGAGCACTTTTGCAGAACCAAAGCATATTGCCTCTGTGTAATGTGATATCCTCTTTTACGAGCAAAAATTAGCACAATGGATTAAAATTCAATACAACAGTATGTCAGTTTGGTCAGCGCATGAACTACTTATCAGGGAGCATTCTACACATGTGTAACATAAACTTTGGGAACATCCTATGCACAGTGGTAAGACCTATGCACTGTATAGACAATATCCTATGCACAGTGGTAAGACCTATGCACTGTATAGACATGCATTCCACAGAGTACTTTTTAAACATTAATTGAGGCAGAAAATCCCTGCGTTTTGACAATCAACACGAACACGTATGTTAGTAGGTGGGCCAGGTTAGAGGGCAGGATTTGATAATCCAGCATCTTTGTTTATCCAGCAGAAAATGCCGTCGCAAAAGGCGCCGGATTAGAGAGGGACGACTGTATTCTTTTAATTTTAAAAGAGACTCTCTGTGATATCCATCATGATGCCTGTGGTGAATCATTGCAATAAACAAAGTTTAACTTTTCCAGTACAATCCTTCTGATGAGATGGTTACTGAACCATACCTAATAGTGTGATGGTATGGGTTGAATGACCAACTCAGGCTACTTTCACATTGCGTATAGTCTGTTTGTCTACCCAGAAACGTATAAAACATTTGATAGGCCTTTATCTATGTAAAGTAGGGTGTCCCCAGGTTACGTCTTAATATTTTTTTAATAACATCCCTATGCTTTTCTTGCCTAGGTCATCAAGGCATAAAAGCATAGCGTAGGGCCCTGAGCCTCCAAGCTCTCTCGTTATTTGACTAGGGGAGTCCCAACAGGCATGGCCTTGTTACAGGTAACCCTAGGTTAATCTTAGTGAGGTGAGCAAAAGTACCAGCAGATTGTGCCTGACGACAGTTTAGAGGAAGAGCACTCCACGGACCTGCCGCCAGAAAAGAAACTGAGCGCAGTCCATACCCAATATGTACAGTAGGTAATACTAAGGCAGCTGTATCCTGGCCACGAGTACGAGCATTTGTGTGCGGGCTAGCTGAACACAGTAGAAACAGTGATTGAAGGAGGGGGCTAGCAATTGATGACAAACAGCGATAGAGCAAAACGTATAGTTTCAAATTAACTCTTTGCTCAAATGAATACAGATGACACCGTTGTGGAACTAATGCAGTTGGGGTCATTCTATACAAACCAAATGCCGTCTTCATCGCAATATGGCCTGCCTGCACTGAGCCCAGCCCTGTACCTGACCTGTAAAGGTCATTTCCCCTGTCTCTACTGTGAAATACCTCCGTATACTAATCGATGAGCATCTAACGTTCCGCCCACAAGTCGAAAAGGTGTGTTCAGCGCTCTTTTGCTAAACTAGCCTGTTTTGTACATGGCCGTCGCAATTTCTCAGCTACAGCTCAGAGAACTTTCTACTTGTACAGTCTAATCTCTAGAATATGCAAGTAAGGCCATCATTTTTATAGCTATGTTTCGCGTCGTCCGCATGCATACGTTTTGATTTTTTTCGGAAAAAAATAAAAATCAAACATGCACAGTGAGTGTACGATTGTGCGAGTCATCAGTGTGGACAGGTTGCATACGGCGAAGCTGGGATTCAGAAATGGCCTCTAGCCTAGGCCAGCGTTGGTTAATCGTTTGTTCGGCATATGGGAGCAATATTCTATGAGCTTACACCAGACCGCATTGATCGCCTAAGCTGAGAGGATGCGTCGTTCCGGAGCTCTTTGCACCGCTGCTGAAGTCTGAGTACAATATTCCAGCGAAGCACCATGACCAACGGTTGCCTCCTCTGTCCAAAGTGAATATTTACTCATTCTGATAACCCAGATGCTGTGCTTCGATGTACGATTTTTCTTTCGAATGTACACCATGCACGAGCTATTGTGCTATGTTCAGTGCATACACATCGATGATGATCATGATGAGCCTTTTTTATTATTTTGCAATTTTTTATTTTTTTCCACCTCTCGCATATGATTCTGGAAGTTGAACAGACGCGAAACATAGATACAAAAAATGATGGCCTAATGCGTATGTGCACTGTTTGAAAACTACCCTATCTCTTAATTTGCTGGCCCAAAATCCTATATATAGGATTTGAAAATGTGTGCCTTTTATGCCGTTGTTATTGGTCATCACGACCAATAATAACGGCATAATGATTTTCATGGAAGTTGTAAATATGTTTGAGGCATGAATGTTTACATTTTAGATTCATGGGGCGATAATATTTCTGATGAATACCCATTTTCAGCAATAATTGGAAATTTGAGCATAATTGTTCAGCTGCTGTCATGGAAAGGACTGAAGCAGTGAATGTGCAGAATAACACTGCAGGTGTGGCACGGGGTGGTTTCATGACGACATATCGCACATGCCGTCATGAAACTACCAGTTTTAAGGATAAAACAAGGTCCAATAAAATCTCAAATCCTATATATAGGATTCGAAAATAGGGCACAGGCCTTAGTAATATTGGGCAAGGAGATGAGCCTGAGATGTTAGTGTTTGAAAAAATTATCTTAGTCAACTCTCGATATCTACTAAGACCTAGCAAGGAAGAATTGGTCACATACCTTTTGCTATTCTCATGCCACACCCATTTTGAGTTGAAAAATATGACCAAAATCCTATATATAGGATTTAGCAAATTAAGAGATAACAGGCCTTATCACTCCCTTATTATTGACCCCCACAGAAACTTGTGATCTCTAAGCGGTCAAATATCAGCATATATTGACCGCTTATATTGACCACTTATTATTGACCACTTAGCCCGAGGACTTAGAACTTTTTCCTCAACTTAGAAAAAAACAGAACTGAAAGAAGAAAAATCTGAAGCCAAATGCTGGGATTCGAACCCAAACTGTCAGATTCTCAGTCAAAGGACTTGGGAAACATACTACAAGAGACAACTGAAAACTTCGGTTTACACAGAAGTAATGTCCAATGTAAACGGCATATGTACATACTAGTATACTATTACAATAGTATTCCTTTCTTCCTATAGCAAAAACAGTTTTAGGTGTATGCTTTGTCGTGATAAATCTATATTATTGCCCTCATAATCGGTCAATATATGAAATATATTGACCTCTTTAATCGTGCAATAATAGATACATATAGTCGCGCGTTCCCATAACCAATCAATTTCAAAGGGGCCTGTCAGCAGAAAGTCCTACTCCAACAATACAAGGTTGGAACCAGCAAGTACAAGAGAAGAAGCTAGGAAGAACTGTCTAGAAGAGGAACGTCTTTCCGAACTCCTTTGAGCAATATAATTGAAACCAAGTTTCGGCAAAGAAACATCACACATTAGGCCATGGTAAAAATTATCTTTGATTCTCAAGTACGCGCGCACCGATTTTGGCGGCGCACCGACGATTTTTTTAAATTTCTTTGCATGCATATGCGCATGAAAACGGTCAATGCGAAAGGCATGAATCAGGGAGTTGTAAAATACCGGTATTTTTCTACTCCCTGGCCTCAATATATGAACATGTGACCATGAACATTTGTGTGACCCTATCTTTGGAAATAAAAAAATTGTGAGAAATATAATAAAAAATCACTCGCTCGCACCGATTTTCACAGGCTCATGACCTGAGAATCAACTATATTTTTTACCATGGCCTTACTTACCTCACATAGACGCCTGAATGTGTTTTCATTGTGCAGCAGCTCCCGGACGTGTCTCGTAACTCCGCATAGCTGAAAGATGTCAGCAAATGACAACATAGGTAGAACTATAGCTTGCCACACATCAAAAAGAACACTGTCCAGTCCTTGCTCGACTAACTCTTGCTCCATTGCTTTGCAGATCTTCAGTTCAGTTACATGTACATGCAGGGAGCCTGTTATATCAGTTACTGGTGTCTCTTGCTACAGCAGTACAGGTCTTCTTGCGCGCATCTGTAATCATCGTCTTCAACAGCAGCTAGACGTACACCCAGTCCAGTCTTACCTAGCTAGGAGCAGAGCAACTGAACTGACATATCGGGCATGCAGCAGGAAAAACGTTTTTCAACGATGGAGAAAAAAAAAATGATTCTCTTCAGTTGATTTGCAGAGAATCAACTGACTTTTGGAAGGTTGATAGCAGTGACACATGCCTCAGTACATGGTGTATTAGTACTTGTGACAGTGAGTTCCCGCAAGAAAGGTCACAAACGTGTGGTGAGTGCCCTACGCGTATGAAACCCACTCACCTTGGTATAGCCTATAGCATAGGCTAGGCTAGGTATGATGACTGAGATGTGAGTAGAGTACACTACTACTACTAGTACTAGAGTCTCTTGTCTTGATCTCGTGCTTACGTGCATGCAACACAAAGGCACTGGGCTGGAGCGTGGAGGCTACATGTACACGCACAGTCATGCATATTGTTAGTAAGGTTTATCTAATACTAGTTTTCACTTGTGAGGTCTGCATTCGCCACTAAGGTTAACAGGCATGGTGGCCTGCGGATGCGAAGGCTAGTTTGTGTGTTTCTGAACATTCAAGCGATGCCGACGCATCCCGCGAATATTATTATTATTAATTTTGAACTAGTATTGGAAGAAAAGGGGTTTGCTCCCGACACCGGAGCTCGCGCTATTCCGCCGACTTTACTTGACACTTGACTGACTCACGACTGCCATCCAGAGCACACGAGAAATCCATCGAACCTTCGACTCGGCAAACCTGCAAGAAAGCACCACTCCCTGCTCAATACACAGTGTTTCGGGGAATTCACCTCTCATCAGTTGAGCTTGAGTAGGCTGAGGAAGATTGTGCCTGAAGAGCACCACTTATAATTATAGTGCTCTCCAGGCACAAACATCACCAGGGATACAAACTTACAGAGACGCTCCGTTTCCAGCGCGACAAACACCTCGTGAACACCAGATAGCAGCGCGAGTCAGTGCCGCTCCTGGACGGTGAGACAGACGTCGAGGACCCTCGGTCATTCGCAACGCTGTCACCTCCAAACCAACTAGTCGCAAGCCCGCGCTGGGCACAACAGTACGAAGTAGTGGTTGCGACTTCGGCGATGATTTGTAAGAAAAGGGTTTGCTCCCCACACCGGAGTCGCAACCACTACTTCGAACTAGTATTGGGTTATATAATACGTACAGTCATGTAGACTCGGTGTATTTTAGTAGTATTGTTTATCAGTGTTGGTGAAAATCAACACAATCAAAAATTAATCACTCCTCTACCTCGCGTGCGTGCAGCAGACCCGGCCATACATACAAAGACTACACGTAAAGACTCTACAAGTACAAGTACAAGTAGCTGGGCAAGTATCGTAGGATCTTGGTAGATCTACTACACGCCTACTACATGTACACTCGATAGACTTTACCATGGACTACATCTACAGTACCGGTATGATGGTAAGAATAGGGCTTGAAAGTGATGACGTCAAAAGCGGCCTGGCCTGGGAGTAGAAAGTTGACATCAGATTCTATTTTGGATCCACTAAGGTGTGACTTTAATATTTGCTTCAGTATTTGGGTAGCAACCCACTCATGTCGCATACAGGTGTGACTTTTACTTCGCCACCAGTTGTCACCCCGCCCCCACTAACCAAATCAGTCATTTTTACTGGCTACATCACCATGATCACCTTGCTGTGAGTAAGACCGCTTGAAATGTGCTTGGATCCATACTACCATAGCACTTTCAAGCCCTATGCTGCATGCAGGCTATGGAACAAATCATGAGAACGAAGGCAAGACCAGCGAATGCATAGAACACGCTATCGTACGTGCCGTGCTAAATGCATCGTGATGGCATGGCTTCTGCCATGGTGATTGTCATGTGACAGGTCATAAAGTTCTGATATCAAACACTCACTACTACTACTGGTACTACAGACAGTACAGACTACACACATGGTCTACTGGTGGCAAGAGTAAAGTAATAATATTATGAGTGCTTCCCGGCCCTGGCCTGGGAGCTTACACGTTACAGTCATGTCTACCATGCCATGGTATACGGTTGACGGTAAGCACTACTAAGTAGCAGTCCCCTGATCAACAAGACTAGTAGTAGTAGACATTGCCGAAAACGGAAAAGACACATTAGAGACAGCCAACTGTTAGGTACAACTAGGCCTCTGTTGGAGTACTTAGACTTTAGACTGAGCTACATGTATCGTATGAGCCACTAGAGATGGGGATAAAGGTTCATGACGTTGAGACACAACTCCTACTTAGATAGGTATCGAATCATTCGCAAAGGGCACCCACATTTTAGACCTTCCTTGCTTACTACGTTAGCTCACTGTAACAAGTACAGTCATGTATACGTACGAGTCGTACTAGGTACAAGTAAGTGCTTTCAAGCTTGCCAAAAGTCAGTTGATCATCTGCAAAGCAGCTGAAGAGAATCATTTTTTTTTTCGTTGAAAACTTGCTGTTGAAGATTGTGATTGCAGATGTGCCAAGAAGAACTGTCGCAAGAGACATCAGTCACTGATATAACGCGCTCCATGCATGCAACTGAACTGAATATCTGAAAGAAGACTTTTTCAGATATTCAGTTCAGTTGCTGAGCCCCAGCCAGCAGAAACCTGAACATGTGTAATTTTTTCAAAAATTATTTTTCCCTCGAAATTGTTTCTACACTATTAATCATTCAAGCTATCAAGTTTGGTGACAATCTGATAAACGAAAGCATGAAAAATAGAGTTTGAAGTCACACAGGTCAAGATTCGGTACAGTTGGCGCAGCATCCATGCCTAGTGACTCCATTCAAGTTGATCCTACAGTTTATGATTGTGATGTGGAACAGGTACATGTAAGTAAATAGAATGCAAGTCAGGCTTGCCCTCTTGGTGCTGCAGGCATGAGTAGTTCAGAAGTGTGACGATATTCCGTATACATCACTACCTTCTTTACAACACCAGAGTGCAAAACGATGATTGGTGGCTGGCCTTCCAAATTGTGTTCAGGGACCTCTGCGCCGGCAGTTTGAGCATTGTCCCAAAGCTTGCCATACTGATAGATGTACTGACCAATACCACTGACATCCACTCCCTTGCACACTTTCACTCAGACCATGATTTCAGCATAATTGTATTTCATTGATATGAGCGAATACTCGCGTTTTGTAGCACGTGAAGATGTTGCCCCAAAGCGTTCAGCCGGTTTGAGTTTTTAGGAATCCCCTTTCTCACCACAGGCAGCAGCCAGCTTGGCGTCGTCTGGCAAGGTAGAGTACTGATAATACTACGCTCAGATTTGCGCCGTGAGAAGCCCTCCATGAGTGTCTGCAACATCATTGTTGTCGATGTAGAAATACGGATCGCTCAGCGGGTCGACATTCAGCTTCTCCTCGCAGTCGCTATTACTCCAGCACCGACTATCGTCGCCACCAGTATCCAGTGTCGATTTTATGAGGGCTCTTCGTTGCTATGCATATGAGACTCGCCACTGCTGGACAAACTCAGCGAGATCGCCACCAAAGAAATAATTCCGATCGCGAACTAACTTTCAGCGCCGCTTCGTACAGGGAGTCTCACGCAGACAACAAACTCCTAAGACTTTGTCGCGACACCTGTCGCCATCGCTGTGTCTAAACTCAACCTCCGTGTGCCGAGCTCTCACCTAGCGCTAAAATCAATTGACCAGAGAAATTGAAGACACTTGAAACTCCTTTGACAACAAAGACACCCACTCGATCGAAAAAGAATCTTCAAAAGCCAGCTCACTGCGCGTCCCACACTTTGACGTCACATTTTGATGATTGATATCAAGTACACAAGTGCTGGTTTTCGCTGGCCGGGGCTCCTGCAGGCCTGGTATCGAATCATTCGCAAAGGGCACCCACATTTTAGACCTTCCTTGCTTACTACGTTAGCTCACTGTAACAAGTACAGTCATGTATACGTACGAGTCGTACTAGGTCCTACTACAAGTAAGTGCTTTCAAGCTTGCCAAAAGTCAGTTGATCATCTGCAAAGCAGCTGAAGAGAATCATTTTTTTTCCGTTGAAAACTTGCTGTTGAAGATTTTGATTGCAGATGTGCCAAGAAGAACTGTCGCAAGAGACATCAGTCACTGATGTAACGCGCTCCCTGCATGCGACTGAACTGAAGATCTGAAAAAGCAATGGAGCAAGAGTCAGCCCAGAATGTACTGGATAGTGTTCTCTTTGATGTGTGGGCAGCAGCAGTACTACCTCTGTTGTCACTTGCTGACATCTTTCAGCTATGCGGAGTTACGAGACACGTCCAGGAGCTGCTGCGTAATGAAAACACATTCAGGCGTCTGTGCCAGGTGAGTGATGCTTCTTTTCCGAAACTCGATTTCAAACCCGGGTTCAATAATATAATAATTGCTCGAAGGAGTTCGGAAAGACGTTCCTGTTGGAGACAGTCCTTCCTTCTTCTCTTTGACTAGCTGTTTCCAATCTTTTTTTTTAGAGATAGACTTTCGGTTGACAGACCTCTTTGAAATTGATGGCGTCCGGTAACTTGCGACTATATTCCAGACTTTGCGAATCCTATTAGTGACACGTAAATATATAAATTTTTTCATAAGGATGTGAGCTGCCTGATGGTACGAGGTGATTCGTCATTTTTCAACATTGCGTCATTTCTTACCAAATATCTCATTTCCAGAGCCTGCAAAAAGCCAGGTGAAATTTCCCTTTGCTATTGGCATTGCGAATGTGCTGTCCAATTCGCCTCCAAAATTGAGACTGATAGTTCTCCAGGAAGTGACATTGTAAGAGCTTTCTGTCTGCATGTGCGCGATGTTTACAGTAAAATAGAGTATAAAAAATCTATAGGCGATGGTTTCAACCTCCAGTGACAGAAAGTTTAGCTGAGGAGGAAGCATGTGATAGCTTCATACTAGAAGCGACACCTGGGAAGGAGCCGGTGTTTCGACCCTGGCAATGGCCAAACATTGGCAATTACTGAATTCACTAACCGATGTTGACCACAATTGCATATGCAATCATGTTGATACACCTGTTGCTATGCAAACTTGAATTCTTGTATTTGGATCAACATGATCTTGATCCAGTCTTGCTGGACCACCCTGGATATGTAGGATCTCTTTCTTTTGAAAATTAATTGAAATTGTGCTGCTAAAGCCTATTACTAATTTACTTTGATCAAGAGTGCAAAAACAAGAGTTTGCAACTGTGGTTATGGGTGGATGCGCGCCAGGCTGTCTTTATTACGTAATTTGCCTCCATCACGCTCTGAAGCATGTACTCAAACCTACATGTACAATTTCTCAGACAAGCCCGATCGTTTTTGCTTGATTCGTTCCAGCAGGGGCGTACATAGGGCGGTTCCCGGGATGCCCGGGAACCAGTAAAAAAAATCCATGTGGGTACAGAGAATTTGTTGATCCAGGCCCAGCGCTCACAGTGCAAGTGCATGCCTGGCATCCGCCTGACGGTCCGATCGAGGACGGTGACTAGCCCAGGTGCGAAAGTAGTGCTGGGACACAGCGTAGATCTACTGAACTGGGTTCAACAACGTCTCTACTACAGTGTAGTTACATCGCCGGATTCCTCGATCTCAGAGTCAAATTTTCCTTTGGAGTTTGTTTTGACAAAGTAATTAGTTGGTCGTGTTTTGACAATGCTTTCGCTTTGTGGAAAAGAAAAAATGAAGCGTCGACATCCAGAGGGCCAGCGCTCTATTCAGAGCTATTTTGAGCTGCAGACAAAGCGTGTAGCCAGTGCTAGTGGCGAAGGTCAAGCGATAGATGAGAATGCAGACGCACCTGACTTGCAAGCGAAGTCTGCATCCAACGAGCAGCGTTGAGGAAGAAATCGTCGGCGAAGCTGTAGAGCGACCGTTGTTGGAAGCTGCTGGATCATCCAAAACTAACTTCAATGACATGGGAGTGTGTTGGACGGGATATTCTGAAAGTCGACGTCCACAGCGGAATCCAGTCCCCGAAATTTGCTGGACACGGAAAAGCTTTCCGTCATCGACAATCATTGTGCGCCACTGAAGGCGAAGGATTTCGTTTCCTGTGCGTGTCCAGACGGATGGCAACCAGCGCCACTTTCAACTATCCTTGTTAGAGGAGTTACCCTGGGTAGTCTTTTGACAGGCATGCAATGGTGGCTTCTGCTTGCCCTGTGTGATGTTTGCTCCAGATGATTCGAAACTTAGGCAGCTTTCAAGACCGCATGCAATCGTCATGTTGAACAAAACATCCATAAAACGGGAAAAATTCTGTCCTTTAAAATCATAAATGCGTAGCAATGACATCATCGTCCACCAGCTTGTGGATGTTAATTTCACCCAGTCTGAGGAGAATATGCAGAATTCTGTGGGATACGAAAAACAGCACTTCAATTGTGTGGAATGTTGGTGCATCAGTTGGCATGGGAACCACTCCTGGAGGCGAGCGGCGTACGCCCCTGTTCCAGTACCTACGCCATCTCTAAATTTTGAGGCATGAACTCCAGTTCCGCACGAAAGTTCATTTCCAACCAGAGGGAAAGTGCGGTGTTTGATTTCCCGCAGTGCGCGCATTGCAACTGAATGATAAAATGAAGCATTCCTGAAGGCAGCGCGCCGCGCATCTGGCCCATAGAAAAGAGGGCACAGTTGCATACTCTTGTTTATGGACTCTTGATATGATGTGAAGAAATAACCACAAAACATAATGTGGAAAATAGCCTTATTTCTCCCAACACGATGGAGAATGTGAATGACAAACCCACCAAGGCAATCTACGGACATTAGTACTACATCCTCCGAGAAAGAAATGGAAAGATTCGCACCCCGAACCCTACAGAAGGCTTTTCTACTTTCGTGTTAAATAATAGCGAATCACCTCGTACTGTTATTTTTTATTTTTTATTTCGGCCGGGAATGCAGCACAGTATTCATGCCATCTTAGGGGTAAGACACGGGGCCGGGAAGTAATCCTACAGTGATGTAATTCGGCCTTACAACAAGGGATTAAAAGCTCGCTCGGCTCGACTCTGCTGAGTGATGACCACCAATACCGTGGTATGGTGAGCTTTGTCATGGGGATTTTGGAGTCAGCTATTCGACAGATACTACACGTAGTGCACAGACCCTGAGGTACAGCACTTGTCCAGGATGCACAGTACATCATATCTGCTCATTGCTACATCTGCTTAGATCGTTCCGCTTCCAGCTACTTTATATGGATAAAATCACATCAAAACTTGACAAGTTTCTGGGTAGACAAGAAAGATATAATAGTAAAGTAAGATGGCAATAAATAAGATAAATTGTGCACTCATAACAACAGCAAAAAATGAAGAAAGTTAAGTTCCACAACGTTTTCTTGTGACTGTCATCAGTGGAACGCCGTCACATAAAAAATGTAATAACTAAAACACCCGTACAGAAAGCGAAGTTTGCACCTTTGCAATGTGTGAATATGGTGTATGTGAGAAAGGTAGTGGCAGATGAATGGATACTGTGTGAATGAATGTAATGGCGCGTGTGTATTACTTGAAGAGTGTGAATGATACATAGCGGAAGGGGAACAACTTGAAAACAGAGCAGAACCGAGGAGAAGCAAGAGACTAGCAGAGGCACGATTGACACAAGTAGAGAACACAAGGCAAGGAGACACAGGAGGAAGCACAAGCAGGGCACAGAACGAATCAAGGAGAGGGAAGCGGTGTCGCGAGGAGATGGAGACTGATGATGACGAATACGAGGGCGATGGAATGGACGGCGGCATTGGAGTGGAGGTGGAGGATGAGAGTAGTGATGAGGAGGAGTTTGATATTGACAAGAGGAAGGCTGCAGTGTACAAGCATTTGGTGTCCAGTGCAGAATGTCGTAAGGTGTTTGACGATTCCTGGTTTAGTGTTATTCGTTGCCCACGTTTCTTCAGGCAATTGCAGGTGTTGGAAGCTGTGTATATTCGTACTCGTGACCCTGTGCTATGTAAACAGAAAGAAAACGTTGTATCACTCACACTCTTCAAGTAATACACACGCACCATTACATTCATTCACACAGTATCTATTCATCTGCCACTACCTTTCTCACATAAAACTATATTCACACATTGCAAAGGTGCAAACTTCGCTTTCTGTACTTGCTGGCTGCTGTATTTCTACCTGAAACCATATCAGCTACATGTATGTAAGTGGCCAAGTGCAGACATGAGAACAAATTCTATCTATCAAACTTCACACCTCCAGTTACATAAACCAGGATTACACCTGATGTCTGGCGCTGATCTTGCAAGTACATGCATAGAATCACCGCTTGACCTTATTTGCGCTTAGATTCACTGATTCCACTAGCACCTTACCACATTATATCAAGAACATTCATTGAGGTTTTGTAATCATTGCTGTCTGATGATCGCCACAGGCGTGAAACTCTGAGTCACAGCCAACCCAAGCTCCGTATCCCATTCTATTCTTTTTGGTTTATTTGTTTTGTTTTTGTATGGAAGTGTGTGGTTTAGTTATTACATTTTTTATGTGACGGCGTTCCACTGATGACAGTCACAAGAAAACGTTGTGAAAGTTAACTTTCTTCATTTTTTGCTGTTATGAGTGCACAATATATCTTATTTATTGCCAATTTACGATTGCGTAGTTGTTCTTATTGCGATACGTTCTAACAATAATGAAATGCCTTTTGTTGGCTCTTCTGCCTGGATTTCGTTGACAGATGCATTAAGCCCATGGATCCTTCCATGAGTGACATGCGAACTGTAACTATTGTTATTATTATTATTATTATTATTATTATTTTAAAACGAAGGTAAGTTATGGGTCGCAAATATCCACGCAAACACACATCCAGTCATAATAAGGCACTTGTCATAAGTATCCGAACGTTTTCGGTCCCTTCTCATCAAGGATTATACAGGGAATGGCTCAAGCTGGAAAGACTAAAACTTATATAGCGTAAAGATAATTAGATAACAACACTCGTGACAAGGTGGAAAATTATCAAGTTTAGCACGACACAAAACTCGAAGGAAAATAATAATAGTGACAACAACATAGTGAGCAAATTAAGTTACATTGTTACCACCTCGACGAGGAGTAACACCAAACAATTGTAGCGACAACACATTTTCTTTCTGTACGCAAAGTTCAGGATCTAACTTACGGATATACAAAGCTTCTAACACAGCCAAATGTAACGCACATCTACCACGTGACAATATTGAGAAAACATTATCACTGTACAACTCACGACAATTGGTACGGGCTGACAGATGTTGCTTGATTGACGAAGTGCGATTCTTAGCTCCATTGGGTGTTGTCTCCTCCAATGTCCCGTCATCTCGCCTCTTCGTGGCATCACCACTATCTGTCTCTTCGCGTTTCCGCGGCCTTCCACGTTTCTTGACACTAACCGTTGGGTGCGCGATACCCGGTGTCCTTTCCGTTACGTCTCCTCCATTGCGGATTTCTATTGAGCTTCTTACTCCAACTTGTCCGGTGTCCGATATTGAGGTTAGTTTTCGCGGTCTACCACGTTTTCGAATATTGACTGTTGTTGTCACTTCCGTTGTCGTTGTACGTTCGTCCTCATCAGTCCGTATTTTCACTTGGCTTCTCGTCACCCTTTCCGACGCCGACAGATCCTTTGTCAGTTTCGGTGGTTTACGTGTGGGTCTTTCACCATCTTTTATGCTGTTCTCAGCTGGCCCGTGTCCTACACACGCAGAGGAGGACGGGCATGCAGTCACATCTTCACGGGAAGAAGAAGATCCACCGATGGACTGGACAGCACATTTTGGAGGACGACCACGGCGAGGACGACAATCGCGCGCATCAAGCGGAACACAACTTAACGGCACATGTTGACGAATGCGTGCGCCCAGGTGCTGAAGGGTTCTACCTACATACCGATCTTCACATTGTCGGCATTGAAAGAAATAGATAAGGTTACTTTTACTAAGGGTAGGTAGAACATCCTTCTTCACACCGAACGCACGCACTGTCCCAAATATGACGTACAGCTTGACGCACGGATATGATGGACATACGATACCACGAACATCCTTCTCCACGAGCGCAGAACCGGTGCCAACCCAGGGTAAACGGAGCACCACAGGGCAACGGTCAGGTCCAAATTGGATAGGCTTGTCTGTCACCGGTTTTTCGTTGATTAGCTTGGCCAGAAATTCCTTTGGATAGCCGTTGTTCGTAAATATTGATGTCAGTCTGTCTAATTCGTCCTGCAATAGATGAGGGGAACATATTCTATGTGCACGATAAACTAGCGCCTTCACAAGATGTCTCTTCGATTTCGTTGGAGTATAGCTCCCCCACGGAATGTAGAGGCCGGTGAACGTTGGCTTCCTATAGATAGTGGTGTCCAAACTCTTAGTGTTAATATTCCGTGATATTTGTACATCCAAGAAGGATAAGCTGCCGTTTTGTTCCGCTTCCGACGTGAATCTCAACGCCGGGTGGAGACTATTCAGAGTTAGTAGAAAAGTCCCACAGACATCCTCATCCTCATCGTGACAGTACACATCGTCTACAAAACGACAGTACATAGAGGGCCACAATGATGGACTAATGGACGCTTCACAGAACCCTACAAAGATATTAGCCAATACAGGACCAAGCGGCGAGCCCATGGCAACGCCATCTATTTGTTAACTTGATAATTTTCCACCTTGTCACGAGTGTTGTTATCTAATTATCTTTACGCTATATAAGTTTTAGTCTTTCCAGCTTGAGCCATTCCCTGTATAATCCTTGATGAGAAGGGACCGAAAACGTTCGGATACTTATGACAAGTGCCTTATTATGACTGGATGTGTGTTTGCGTGGATATTTGCGACCCATAACTTACCTTCGTTTTAAAGTATTATCCGCCTCCGACCTCTTTAAAAAAAATTATTATTATTATTATTATTCAACGCAATAAATAGAGTAAGCTGCGCACTCAGTACAAACACCATAAGCAAAACTTGTTTTCATGTAAATAAAGAAGCTTGTTCCTAAACGTTTTCGTCGCCATCTCATCAGAGGATTTGCCAGTTTTGCTTATGGTGTTTGTACTGAGTGCGCAGCTTACTCTATTTATTGCGTTGATTACATTTTTATCTCCACGGAAGCTTTTTAATTATTATTATTATTATTATTATTATTATTATTATTATTATGTCTCCTTTATTCACTTCTTTCGAAGGCGATAAGCCAGAGCCACCGGGAAATATTTCCATGGGTGGGACAGCAAAAAGAAAGTGAAAAAAAAATTAAAAAAAAATAAAACCAAAGGGACAAGAAATAGTTGAAGGAAGAGGAAGAAAGGAAAGAAACTCAATCCGAACTCCAACATCAAACAATAATAAAGAATTTGCAGCGACAGGCAAAGTACATCAACCAATGAAGAGAGTAACAAAGGAAATATCAGTCTTTATCAGTCGTTATTCAAGTCTCTTAGCTATTGAACATGCAAACGCAGCAGAGGTGCATCTACATGTTAAGGATAGTTCTTAGTATTTTAATCGAACCTTGGATAGCCTCCTGTTGCACAATAGCCAGGTCTCCTCCCTGCACAGTCCGAAGGCATTGAGGAGTCTCCCCCACCAAGCCTCCCAGGGCACCGACAACCACAGGGATCACGTCAACCTGGGCGAGGGACCAAATCCTGAAAATCTCCCGCTTCAAATCATAATATTTCGAGCGCTTTTCAGCCATTTTCTTATTGATGTTGTTCTCACCAGGAACAATTATTATTATTGATATTAACTGGTTTGAGGGAAAGAGACAAACGGGAAAGGTCTGAAGAAAAAATTGACTGTCACCACCAGGACTCGAACCAGGGACCCTCGCTTGTAGCCAGCGATGCTCTAACCACTGAGCTATGGTGTAGTCATCATCCCAGCAGAGACCATTCAACGTTTTCTTCAGACTTCGTAACTTTTTTGATATTATTATTAATAATACTACCTCCGACAAGCGAAACTTGGCGCGTTTTTTTTACTTCAAATTGCTCGAAATAACACACACTTTACAATCAAACTAATGATTGACTCACCAAAATACAACTTTGTATTGCTCAACAAGGACATTAGAGACGTCAGTTAGGCTGAATCACTCTCCTCTGATTCAGAGATCGCAGTTTCTTCTGGAGAGGAATTGTCCCTGCTTTGAGACGAAAGTGCGACAAGAGCGGATTCAGTTGCAGCAAGTACCGTGGCTTTGTTGTGATCGCCCTGGAAATCTCGATGTCCCTCCTGTGTGCTGTGCTTGAGCCACGATGTCGAGGGTAGTCATCTCCGCCGCCAGTATCCAGGTTGACGTGGTAAGAACTGTGCAACGCCTCCACCCGTGCCTGGACTCCAACTCTTTTTGCCGGGTATTCTCGCCAACAGTCCAAAATAATTGCCTGCAGCAATTCCTGGCGATTTCCTTTAGCCAACAGAGACTCATCGCTCTGGAGGCTATTGAAAGATGCCAGGATTGTTTGGCATGGGCATATGGACTCTGTGCTGGCTAACTGATCAAGTGGAGAGAGAGAGAGAGAACTCCTTGGTTTTGCATTGAAACGCGAAAGCACGACGATTCTCCTTCGCAGAATGACCCGCGCACTGTTGTGCTGGTACAAGAGAGACTGGCCTGCCTCTGACTAAGTCCGAGTCATGTGCCACTCTGACTCACCAGCTCGTCGCTTGGCTTCCACCACCCGGTTGCATGGAGCTACAAGTAGGTCGTAGAACAAACCTCACAGCCTTGTGAAGTTGTGGTACCAACACAAAAAAATCGAAAAAATGCGCCAAGTTTCGCTTGTCGGAGGTAGTAGGAATTATTATTATTATTACCCTCGCTACAAGCGAGGGTTCCTGGTTCCTGGTTCCTGGTTCCTGGTTCGAGTCCTGATGGTGACAGTCAATGTTTTCTTCAGACTTTTCCCGTTTGTCTCTTTCCCTCAAACTAGTGAAGATTATTATTATTATTATTATTATTGCCATTTTACGACTATTGTTTCCTCGTCGATTGTTTAAGTAAACTAAGAGTTGGTCATTCAACAGATACCAGTACACTATTTTCTATGGTTCAGTATCCATCTCGTCCCAAGGATTTTACTGGTAAAACCAAAATTTGCTCATTGCCAGGATTCACCACAGGCATCATGATGAATATCACGGGAAGTCTCTAAAATTGAAGAATATTTGTCAGAAGTTTGTTGGCAATGTGGTGAGTACAGATAAGAGGACACAAATGTCAGGGAGGCAGATAACAAATCGAACCAATCCTGAATGGTCAAGCTGGAAATAGAGTACTGATGTACTACAAAACCACAGTACAGTGTACTGCCTAATGACACTACTGATTTGCAAACGCAACGTGACCATCATTGCGTGAAATGTGTGACGTCTATCCAGTACAATACCAGTTCAAACCATGTAATCCTATAAACTGCCACTTATACATGTGATAATCAAATAATGTGTCTGTTCATAATAATAATTATTGATTTATGTTAGCAATGAAAAGTATGAATGCCGCAGACATCACCACGCAACATGACAATTTGTTCAAGGTTTGGTTTTGTGTGTTTCCAAAATCGATTTTCACGTTGCGATCATCAGTGGAAATACGCAACTAAAGAGATCAAGGGAAAAACAAAGGTTAAAAATCCAAAGAAGTGTGACACATGACGGGTAACTTGTGGTAAGTATTACAAAAAGTGAGAACTAAAATAAAGAGTAAGTGTGACAAACGGGCATGAACAGTGCAGAAACAACTCATGAACACGGGGTGCAAACTCACGAAAATAACCTAAGTGCTAAAACATGTTCTTTTTGCTTACACAAATCGGGCTTATGCGTACGAATACAAACAGCTTCAAGGACCTTCAACTGCTGGACATAACGGGCACGACACAGTATCCACTGATGATCGTATCCACTGATGATCGCAACGTGAAAATCGATTTTGGAAACACACAAAACCAAACCTTGAACAAATTGTCATGTTGCGTGGTGATGTCTGCGGCATTCATACTTTTCATTGCTATTATTAAACTTTTATCTCCACGTAGATTATTTATTGATTTATGTTGAATTTTTTTTGCCCCATGCATGCAGAATCGCTATCAGATTAGTCCAAATTTGAAACTGTCATACATCACAGTTGCGAAGCACCTCTGCATCGCCACCAGAGTATCCAGCATACGTGAAAGCATACATTTGGCTCCCCACTTCTGCGTTTTCGAGTGCCCTGATCTTCATTATCATTTCCAGGTGTTCAACCAACGACTCCGAACGATTGTGCAGTTGTCCAGCCTAGCGTTGATGCCGCCTAAATCCCATACAATTATCCGGTACAGTCCTCCGCTATCGAAGCGTTTGACCAAAGAACTTTGGCTACCATCAAATATCACTTCTTCCTTCCTACCCAACCTTTCAACTTCATTGATTGAGGAAAAGTGTACAGCAGGAGAAGAGATGATGTACAGATTAGCAGACGTGACGAGTTTGTTGTTGGAGATTTGTGGCTCCCATGAAGAGTACCAAACATGTATCCTGAAAAAATTGGAAGAGGATATTTCGGAGACTGAGTCATACTTGCCCTACGCGAACCGCACTTGCAAGCTAGTCGAGCTTGCAAAATGCTTTGAAAGCGTTGCAAGGAGGGATCCAACATTGCTCTCATCACTAAAATGTGAAACTCTGGTACCAACACTTCCCAAGCACATTACTACTCGGTGGATCTATAACCCATACGACAATATATTAATCGAGAATGATAAGAGTGACCTTCTCAGCGATGACGTGTTGGCGACTCAGAATTGGATCGACTTCACGGTGCGGCTAGCAGAGCGTCACTCATTGCTCAAGCTCCTCATCAGAGGAATCCTACATGTATCGCAGTTTGAGGATTACTTTGTGGCTGTCAGGGAGTACGAAGAGCTCTGGCACAGCCTGCCACAGTCTAGTCGCCCCAGCCAGAAGGTTATCTACTGTGACCTGGGAAGTTACCTACTTACCACATTACCAAGGTCACAGTGTGAAAAGGAACTGACAAAAGAGGAATTGCTGAACGCCATGGAGCTGTTTGGCAGGAAGATTGTTGAGTGTTCGTCCGACCAGTCATCGAGTATGGACCTCTACTTTCTATGGTAGCTGAGCAGAGTCACCTCCAGTGTCTGAACAATGTTCAGCGCCGCGCAATTCCGATATGATGCTATCGGCCATGGGGCAGACCTACCCAGCCTGGTCATCCGTCTTACTGTTGCCTTGCTTGCCTGCCTGTACAAGCTGCACTACTTGCCTGGTCCTCCCCAGCTGCTCTCTGTGGTGCCACCGCACCACATCACCACATCACCTCTACTAGTACTAACCCTAGAACCTGCCGTGAGCACGGTGCTGTCAGTGGCCATGACCACCAGCTCCAACACCAGCTGCCTGCATCTGCCCCGCTGGCACTGAAGCGCTCCTTTACACACTGCAGCATCAGCGATTGGAACTCCCTCCCTGCCGCTCTCCTGTCCCAGCCTCTCCACAGCAAGGGAATGCAATCATTCAAAACGAAAGTTTATCGCCATCTTCGCAGCACAAACTGGCTCTGTGCAGTCCATTCCCTATGAATAGTCTGATGCTATGATAGTTTCTCCCCCACACTAGCTCGTGTTAAACCTTGGGTTTGTGCATCTTTCTGACCTGTACAGCTCCTTCTTCTTCATTTTGTGATGTGGTGCGGTGGCATCTTGCTGCGTTCTGTTGTAGTTGTGATGGTTGTGGTTCTACTGTTGTTGGACCTACAATGCACATACACTACTCGTCTATAGCCTATAAAGCATTGCAATCAGATATTCTTGCCATGAGTTAATCCTGATCATTTTTGGTTTATTTGGCGTACATGTATTGCCAATTGGATTGTACTTGATATTTCCTTTTCTCACAGTTTTTCAAAGTAAAAACGTACTGTACTCTAATTGTTGTGTTTGTTTCCTGTTTCTCTCTATTATCTAACGGCGGAGACCAGCTGGGTGCTAGTTTCCAATAAAATGATTGATAAGTGCTACAAGTATCTTACGATGGACTGAACATCCAGCCATGGCGACAAGAGTATTTCACCAGTAAAATACGGCTTGGAATGTTTTTAACATGAATATCGATGGACTAGCCCCTTCTTTTCATGTCTTGTTTGCAATAAAATAATTATTTGATTGTAAGTGCTACATGTCATGGTATCTAACGATGCCGCAATACCACCATCCCCACTCTCGTCGACCAGGGCTTTACTATGTTCAAATATTAACGTTATTATTATTCCCGTAGCTATGCAGAAGTAACGTCTGGCGCTAGCCAGGGTCCACACAGCTTTAATTCCCGTAGCTATGCAGAAGACGTTACTTCAGTAACGTCTGGAGCTAGCCAGGGTCCACACAGCTTTAGGCTGCGTTTACACGACAACGCACGGCCAGTTTTCCGCTTTCAGTCCCGCATTTCTTTTTTCGTTTTCGTACGTTTACACGATCAAAGCCGATCCGAGGTGGTCTCCGTTTGTATCGTTTTCAAGCGTCTACACGAGAGCAAAGGATCCGCCAAAGTTCGTCATGTGCCAAGTGTTGCCGTGGAAGCACCAATCACACTCAAGTAATGGCTGAAAACAGGTACACGACAACACACGTCACATGACGAAAATTGTAAAAACATTTTTTTTGGATTGTCGGATCCGTGTAAACGGCCGAAAACGAAACAAACATGACGGAAAACGGGGCCAGCACACCGTTTCGACTGTTTACACACCCAAATTTATCCGGCAGAACATTTCCGTTTTCAAATTCTTCCACCTTGGCCAGCGTTTTGGTTTTCTTCCGGGTTGGTGTACAACTTTTACGTTTTGCTCCGCGTACCGTGTAAATGAACCATGGATCCGAAAGGATTTCGTTGCGTTTTCGCCCCCAGCGTTTTCGTGTAAATGCAGCCTTAATTCCCGAAGCTATGCAGAAGACAGTGTCGTATTTTTTTTGGCGGTGTACTATAGTTTTTTTTTTCGAGAGTCGAACAGCATACAAACTTTGCTAGAACTATGCGATTATTACCAGAAAAATAATAATATGTAGCGCAAAATAAAGAGAAGGAAAATAATAACCGGTCAAGCGCTAAATACAAACAGAAGAAAAAGAAATCATAAGCCAATACGCGCTAAACTGCGCTTAAATTATAATGAAGGGAGAAAAACTGGAATCCGCGGAAATTATAACATAAAAATGATACAGAGAAAA